GCGGGCGGCTCCGGTCCTGCGGGACAGGCTGCTTCAGGCGCCAAGCGGGGCCGACGGGCGGCGAGTGGCCCGGCCAGGGTCCTCGTGGGTCCTCGGCGAGCCCGTGGGAGGGCCCTCTTTGTGGCTGCAGTTGGCAAGATGGCGCCGGTGGGGGTGGAGAAGAAGCTGCTGCTGGGCCCCAACGGGCCGGCAGTCGCTGCCGCCGGCGACCTGACCAGCGAGGAGGAGGAAGGCCAGAGTTTGTGGTGAGGCTGCGGGGTGACCAGGCCAGGGCTGGGGTGCGGGGAGAGGGGGACCCTGGGCAGGCTGGGCGGACCGGCAGACAGACAGACTGGTGGGCCATCAGCTCCGTCCAGAGTCGGGCCGGCTCCCGGACTGACCGCTGTTGTCATTGTCATAGGTCCTCGATCTTGAGCGAAGTGTCCACTCGCGCCAGGTCCAAGCTGCCGTCCGGCAAGAACATCCTCGTCTTCGGTGAGCCCCGGCGGCGGGCGGTGCCCGGGAGCGGGGCGGGCGAGGCGGGCACCCCGGGCACCCCTCTCACGCCGCTGTCACCGGCCGGCTGCAGGGCCAGCTTGCCGGTGCCCCGGCTGCGAGGACACGGCAGAGCTGGCCGGCCTGCGAATGGCCGAGTGCACCCATCCCAGATCCCACGGGTGCTGGCGTGCGCTTGTCGCCACGTCCCCCGGTCACTTGGCCCCAGAGTCGGCCTGGCTTTAGATGTCCCGGTGGGGAGAACAGGGACATGCCGTTTCAGGGGCCTGGATGGCGGGTCTGGGTATCAGCACCGGGACTCCCGAGCCCAGTTCACGGAGCCAGACCACTCACCTCCGGCCTCAGTCTCTTGGTACAGTTGAAGTTTGGCGGGGCTCCTTTCCATAAATAGCAGAGCTGTTTGTCGAGTGGATCCTGTGTGCTGGGCGCTGGGACAGCGCAGACGTTTCTCAGACCTGGCGCAGTGACAGCCACACGTGTTGGTGGTTGCCCTCCACCCAGCCACGGGGGCAGATTCGTGCATCACACTACCATTTCTTGTGTGGGGAGTTGGAATCGATTCCTAGCTGACCTGTTAGCAGATTTTCAATCGCGCCCCTTGGTAAGGTGGAAAGGCGGTGATTTTGTTGCATGTGGTGTATTTAGGAACTAGTGTCAGTAGGCAGGGTCAATGTATGCAGGAACACTCAGGGGCAAGGGGGGTGGGCTTAGGAACTTCTTACAGAAGGTGGTTGATGAGGGCATTTGGGACATGCTGGGGAAAGTGAAGAGCTGATGCTTTTTCCTCAAAGACCCAGATCCTCAAGGGTCTTCTCTTTCACCTCCATTCCTGCCCCTCTGTTCTTCATAAGTGTTGGTTTTCCCCTTGTGTTTTTGTTTTATTTTGTTGTTGTTGTTGTTGTGTGCCATCAAATCATATCTTACTGGCACAGGAGATTGCCCCCTTCTTTTCCAGCAGAGCATCTGGTGGATTCGAACCATGTGCCTTCGAGATTATGGTGCAGCTTCTTGCCACAAGGCCACCAGAGCTCCTTTCCCATTATTTCTGAGTGGGGTCTGCAGTTGTACCATTTGGCTGGTACCAGAATAGGAAATAGTGGCATGGAATAGAAAACTGAGATTTCAGGATCACTAAGTCCACGTTTTGGGAAGGTGGGTGGATCGAAATGGGCAGGTAATAGAGTCAGCTCACATACGTTCTCCATGGTTTCAGTGGGATGTGAAGGACCTGACTGAAGTGGTGGCTCCAAGTCTGGTGGTCCTTTATCTGTGGAAGACCTTTCAGGTCTCCTGTTCTGGGATACCATGTTGTAGGGGTCTCTACTAAACTTTGTTCTTAGTGGCTTCTCTCTTAGTACAGGGGTAGGGGTGGGGGTGGGGGTGTGTTTCTCACTTGTTAGATAGACCAAGGAAAATAAGATGCTTGATAATCATGGAGATTGTACTTAAGAATTTGGTTAAGCCTGTAATTATTTTTATCCGTTTCCCAACCTTTGATGCTAATGAAAGAGAGGTGCTAAATCAGAAGTGACTAATAACCTTTGTCCTCCAGGGTTGTAAGGCAGATCAGACAACTTGTACTTGTGAGAGGCTACCCTTACTTTTTTCTGTCACTTCTCCAAATGTGTGTCTTCTGTGAGTTGTCAGAAGGGTCGGTGGTCCTGACTTGGCCCGTCTCTTGTGAGGTAGGGATAACAGCAGTGAATGTCTCTCTGGAATTTGGAACCTTTAACTCCATCCCTCCAGTGTTTCCTTGTTTGTGAATACAGGTGAGACCTCAACAGAGGTTTCACGTGAATTTTTAGCTATTCTGTCATTCAAGTGTGTCATCTTTGCCCAAAATAAACACTATGCCCTTGTCTTCTTGCACAAATTGTAGGTGAAGATGGTTCTGGCAAAACCACTCTTATGACTAAACTACAAGGAGCTGAGCATGGCAAAAAAGGAAGAGGCCTGGAGTATCTGTACCTCAGTGTCCATGACGAGGACCGAGATGGTGAGTGAAATGCTGATCCGCAGTGCGGCCCCTCCACGACTCCGGCTCCCTGGTTGCAGCTCTGGCAACATGTTCAGGCATTCTCAGTTTTCCATTTAGCTCTGTGAGAACTAGTCACAAGGGAATAGATGAAGTGTATGTCTGTTAGGGAACTATACCCACTTTCAGCATAAAACATTAACAGGCATAGGGATGGGGCAGTTAGCTGCTGCCCTGACTGGCCAGTGTTAAAAAAGAGATACTGATGGTAAAGTTTAAGGCACATGTAAAGATAATAAAAACAGTATTTTAGAAAATACTGAACTTGTCTTTGAGAGGAATGCGTGGTACCTGATTTGGGTGTCCATACTGTTCTCCTTCATTCTAATGGAGAGTCTGAAATTGGTATGCTTGAGTGTAACAACTTAACATTCACAAGAGAGTATCTTTGTGATAGTTTGTTGTTTTTTGTTGTGTACCATTGAGTTGGAACTGACCCATAGCTGACCCTCTTAAGGGTTTTCAGAGGCAGTTAATTGCACAGGAGGAGATTGCCCATCCTTCTCCCATGGAGCAACTGGTGGATTCGAACTGCATGCCTTCAGGATTGCAGCATAGCTTCTTGCCACTTCTGGGCCACCAGAGCTCCCCTGTGGTGGTTTAGAAATGTTAATTTCCTTTGCTTAGTGGAGGGAATAGGGATGGGGTGTGTGTATGTGTGTGAATGTTTTTTAATTCCATCTAAAGTGCACATCATAATGGTGTCTGTCTGAAGAGGACTGAAAGAACCCTTGACAGGATTAGTTATTAAATGTTCTTTTGTGTAATTTTTTTAAAATTGGAAAGCAGTTTTTTGTTACCAGAACATGTTAATAGCTTGTTTGTATTTTCAGTGTTTATGTTAGATCTTTTGAATGGCTTTAAATGAAGTAATGAAGTAATTCTTTATGCCTAGGCCTTTTTTGTAGGGAAGTTGAACTGTTTGGCCTAAAGATTCTGAAATATCCTTGTTAAAGTGTTGGTAAATGAAGAAACTCATCAGCGTCCTTTCTAGAGCTGGAATTCTGTGATCTTCAAGTGTTGCTTGACTAAAGGGTGTGGGTAAAGGTCTATTGTTAACACTTGGAAACAGGAATCATATTCATGTTAAACTTGTAGTCCTCATAGGGCCCCAGCGGTTTTAACCATGCCTCCCCTTTCCAACTCATCTTCTTTCATGCTGAACATTCCCCTGAAGTCTGGAAGGAAGGCAGGATGGAGGCCTAGTGCCTAGGACTCTCTTTGAAAAAGACAGGGCTTCTGGGTGCCCATCTTGGCAAGTTCTCAGTGGGTTTGGACTAATGAGCGGGTCTCGAGGACCTCATGTGTCTGAATCTTACTTCCTGTCATTGTTAAGCAGTATAATGACTGTGGAACTTGAGTTTTGAGGCCTGGCAGAACAGGAACAGAATCTCACTCCTGCACTTACCAGCTTAACCACTTCCACCTCCAATTCCTCATTAGTAGATTGGAGGTAACCAGTGTCTGTTCCATAGCTTGATAGATGAGAGATGATGTCAAGGGAAGCAGAGAGCTGAGACATCACATCTCTGGTACCCTTTTATCTTGTTCCTTTGGAAAGTACTAAATAAATATGGTGGTGTTCTGTCAGTCTCTTACAGCCTTTCTGTTTCAAAGCCTCTTGCACCATAATCAGTGGTTGAAGTACATTGACATCTATTTCAGATTCCTTTATGGTTACCTTAAAATCTTCAAATCTTCTTGGTATGTGTGTTTTTTTTTTTTAAGGCTTCTGACTTGTGAGTTCTTTAATGGAAGGATTGCCTTTACCTTTGGTTAATTGTGTGTGTTTCAGCCCTAGTCTTTTTTTCTTTTTCTGTATTTTATGACTAGATTATAAATACACAGTCCTGCAGACATTCAGTTATCAAATATAGTATCTGGCTTGTCCCTGGTTTGCCCTGGGGCACTTCATGTTAAGGGACCTCTGCCTACAGGGTGGGGTGCATCTTTTTAACACTTCTTGTGGAGTGTGTGTCCTTTCCAAGTGTCTAGGTGAGTGATGTGTGATGCATAGCAAGGAGAGAGACTGGAAAAAAGGAATCATGCCCGGTGCTGGGCAAGCATTCAGCCTCACAGGCTTGGGGAAGAGAGCATTATCTTTGAAGGTATTCACCACACCTCAACCAAAACTACTATCTAAAATATCTGAAACTGGATACAGGTACATTATTGTATGCAATGTTGGAATAAAGTCATGAATGTTAACTTTTTTTTTACTGAATATAAACTTTGGCAATATGTTAATGAGTTGACTTTATTTTGAAAGATCACTAATGAAAAGCAAGTTTTTAAAGTACATGTTGAAATTTACTGGTGAGAAAGTTAAACAATATTTTTGTGTTAAGAGTTTTTCTTCAAGGCCCTTGTAAAAAATGATTCTCAAAAGAGATTTAAACTTGTAAAAAATAAATTATCAATTTGGCGAGTTATCTTCTCCAGTTTGATTATCCAGATATGATTTGAAAATCCCATGTACATCTTTAAATGTCAGCATTTGCACATTAATGCATGTGTATTTCTCTCTTTTTTTTTTAATACTATAAAGTATTTAAAGTAGAGATACTGGTATGGTGAACCTTTTGCTCCAACACAAGATTATTTTAAAGTAAACTTTGGACATTATCATTTACTCCGTAAATCACTAACATATCTATAAGACTTTTTAAGAAGCATGACTGTACTGTTCTCCGTAATGATTTTATCTTGCTCTTTGAATACAAAGGTCTTTTCTCTCTGGGACCACTCATAATGTATGAATACTGAGCATAAGTGACAGAGCAGAGTCTGTTTAATCATAGGCTCTTGGGCGCAGCTCGCTGCCTCGGACAGTTGGTATCACAGGCGAATGGATTAGTTCAACGATAGCATAGACAGGGATGTATGCAGTTTAGTGGCTTTTTGTTCTTAAAGTGAAAATTATTCCATTCCTCAGACCTACTGACTCTGTTTAGCTGTGGAGACGTCATATAGTAGTTTTTAAATTTCAAGTTCATCCGTACCAGGACTGAGCGTGGCCCCCCACTGAGCCCTCGGGCTGGTTGGGCATTCTGTCTGCATTGGGAGTGCAGGTCTGTGGCTGTCGCCTTCAGGCTCTTCCTTGGCTCTGCTCTTGGATGTGCTGATGGACTGTCACATGGTGCCTTCCCTTCTCCCTCCCCAGATCACACGCGCTGTAATGTGTGGATCCTGGATGGAGACCTGTACCACAAAGGCCTGCTGAAATTTGCTGTTGCGGCGGAGGCCTTGCCAGAGACCCTGGTCATTTTTGTTGCGGACATGTCTAGGCCTTGGACTGTAATGGAATCGCTACAGAAATGGGCTAGTGTTTTACGGGAGCACATTGATAAGATGAAAATTCCACCAGAGCAAATGCGAGAACTGGAACGGAAGTGTAAGTAAAGCAGATGGGTTTGGGTTTTTTTAATTGGGAAACTTATAGAAGGGCCTGCCCTTCTCCCTTTTCCTGGTATCAGGAGACTGTAAAACTGCCTTTACTGACTGTATTTTGTTTGCACATTTATTTCAGAGTTGCTCTTATATATTTAGTAGTCAGTGTTCAACTAGTCTTTAATTCAGTGATCACACTCTTCCCTTGTTGCCTGAGTAGAATGTTCTTATGACACCTTTTAGAAGTGGAAATTGTGTTGAACAAAGAAACAATTGCTTTTAACTTATATGGGGAAACTTGGGGGTCATCCTCAGACCCAGAAATGAACCCAGTATTCCAAGTAACGCATAGAACCTAAAATAACATTAGCTTGTAGTGTTCTCTGATAGCTTGATGCTGAGACACTCACTGTAGCCTGGAGAAGCCCTCCAGACCCCATTCTCTTGCTGCTGGGGTGTTGCGCTGCTTCTTTAAGAGCTCACCTCCAGCGGGGTAATGATGGGCATAGTCCAATGGTGATTAATTTTATAAAATACAATGTATGGGAATGATTGTGTGAAACATGTCAGTGAAGAAAAGTGTGAAACACACAGCAAGAAAAAAACAAGCCACTAAGTACAGTAATGAAACACAATATAGATGGATAATTTATAGCATACCAATAAAAATAGAGGGAAGTAATGGGAAAAAATTATGTGAAGGCTTAACACATGCTTATTAAAGCAATTTGTAAAATAAAAATCTAGAATTATCAAATGTTTTGTCAAGGTTTGTCTTTCTGAAATATGTTTAACTCAGAGCCAGACTTAAAAATAAAATTGCTTAATTAAAACTGCTTATCGTTCTCATGAAAAAAATAAAGGGAAAAAAGAGCTCACCATAAAAAAAAACACACCACACCTAATTTAGCCTCTCCACCCCCTCCAAACGTGAAAATGCTTTTTGGGTGTCCTTTGGTTAGAGAAGATAAATACTGTCATAGGTCTTTGGTGAAAGCAAAATGGCATACAGCAGACTTTTTAAAAAGAGGCGGTCCTGAGAATCCATATTCCTTATCTCCTTCTTTGACTCACTTTGAAAATAAGAATTCCTTCCTCACCCTTTCCAGTGTGATCAGCACTATGGATTTCTTTGTGTTTCTGTCTGATGTATTGTGGTCTCTAAGGCAGTTTTAATGTTTTTTGGTGCCAATTGTCCTGACATTCCTTTTGGTAATTGAGGTCTGATGGGCCATCTTGTTGGCAGGTTTAGAGGATACCCTAAAAAAAAGGAAAATCCTTCAGTCCCTCCTGGAATCCAGCAAATATGACTTGAGATAGAAATAGGAAGTTCACTAAACTGAATAGATGTAGGATGTCCAGATCTTAATTCTAATTTAAGAATAAAGAACTTTAAAAGGAGAGGAAGTTTGAGTTTTTTTCTTAGTGTGGTTCGGAAGCTTGTTTTTCCTCTCTCTTGCTTCTGTGCAGTTACATCAGCTCCTGTCCACTTGCCAGGGACTTGGGAGGGGCAGGGGCTGGAGCCGTGGCAGTGGCAGCGGTGACAGCGGCCTTGGCCAGAGCAGGCTTGGCTCCCTGGCTTATTTCCACAAGATGACATCATTCCCTTTAGTGAATTAATGAGGGCTTCTGGGCATGGCACACGGGATCTTCACACTTCCTGGCAAAGGAGCTCAGAAATGTTGTGTACTTTCTCCATTGGATTTCCTGCCGTGTGTCTTCCTGCCCGTGCTGCTGGGCCACGTTAGCTAACACAGGGAGCTGTTGACCTTCTCCTTTGCTTGTGTCTGTGTTTCCTGGCTCACCCACGTGTGTGCTATAGTGATTTCTACACAGCCCAGCCTTTGTTCCTTCAGCCACAGACCTTTTCAGATAATTCCTTCGCCCCCTAAAATAGAGACCCTAAAGACAATTCCTCAGGATCAGTTTGGGGTGAAGAGCTGGTTGGTTTGTTGTTTTTTTTTAATCCCCTGCACATCAGCATCGTACCCAGACAAGGGGTTCACACATAGAGACCTCAATTCTCTGAACCTGTTTTCTCAGAGTGGTACCTTGTAAAGATTTGTTACAAGAAAAACGGTTGAACCAAGCTGCTTTTTTCCAGTTGTGGGAAGGTGTGTATTATATAACCATTTGCCATCTTGACAGTGACATTTACAGTGTTTTGCAACCATCTCCTGAAGGCATTATTTTTCACTCCTTTTCTTCCAAACAGGGAGCCTGTCCGTCTTGTACCAGACACTGTTCTAGGCACTGGAGATACAGGAGACAAGTTTCCTGCTCCGGGGGAGCTTATGTTCCACCGAATTTATTTTGTGTGCTTAGTCATTGATGTCTCTGTCGCTTAGTATTAGATTTAGCTGCATGTGACAGGAAATCCAAGATAGCAATGTCTTAAAACAAAACTGAGGTTTATGTCTCTCTCGTATATTCAGGATCTAAAGGGAGGCAGTTCAGAACTGGAAAGCCACTCCAGGAGGACAGCTCAGTGACCCTCGCTCCTTTCTGCTGCTGCTTTGTCATCACCCGGTGTGGGCCTCTTCCTGAAGAGTCGAGCTCTAGCATGCATTCATGTTCACGTTCAGGCAGTAGGATGGAGGAGGTGGAAAGGAGGGCTGAAGGCTACATGCCTCTTGCCTTTAGGAGATTGGGAAATGTAATCTTTTCTCTGTGTGACCACACATTCTCCTAGACAGCACGTTTGGCTATAAGGAGGAAGGGAGAGGACACTGGAGAGCAAGTAACATTTCTGGGACCGGGTCCATATCCCTGATTCTGGTTATCTTTCCAAGTGCTGCTGTTTTCACACATTGCCCCTTCTTTGAACTGTTCATGGGATGGTGGGAACATCTTTATATTATGCGGTGAAAGAGTTAGCGTTGGGTTTAGGTTACATTTTAATAATAAAACAGTTCACCATCTTCTTGCTCCCTTTCCAGATAGGTTAGACTCTGGGTGTTGGACTCAGTGAGTGCAGGGTTGTCAGACAGCAGTGTCCGATGCAGCCAGCCTCCAGCTGCTTTGGGAAAGCTGCTTCTGAGCTGCTCTTTCAGGATCAGGTTCCCACTGTTCCTGCAGGATCCTCTGAGTAAGGGGACTGGCAGAGCAACCTTCAGAGAGGTGCCTGTGTGTAGTTTAGTCTTTGTTTTGCTTCAATCTGGATCTTCCCTTGGTTATGTACAGGTGGGAGATTAGATGCTGTCTGTAGGGTCTTGTCAGGGCTGTAGAGTCTCTGGAGTGATCAAGGAAGTAGGAGAGAATAATGAGAAAGAGGCAACAGCCTCCAGGTTGAGCAATCCGAGCTGCTTTCCATCTGCACTCCCAGCTGACGGGCGAGTGGAGCACAGGTGGAACCTTGGGCTCTGCGATCCCACCCTTCAGAGCGAAGCCGTTACCACTAGTGTGTGCAGACCCGACGGGAGATGCACATTTCACCCACTTAGTTACACAAGCCTCGTTACTTTCTGATCGTCCCTTTTCACTTATCTGTATGCTTCAGATATTTGCTCTTCCTTTATATTTATTTTAAACATTGCGTTATTAAAATAACGTGTATTTTCTGCTGTTGTCCAGCCATCTGTATGTCTGTCCATCAGAGTGAATAGTGTGATGGGGCTTCCCAGCTGTTCTCACATCGTAGCACATGGAATGCAGCAATGTGTATGCAGCACGTGGGGGCTGGAGGCGCACAGGGCTGACTGCTGCCTCGGCTCTGCCTCTGTTCCTCACCTGTAACTCCTGTTCCAGGCTCTGCCATGCTCACTGTGGGAAGCTCTGCTATTCTGCCTTACATGACCTTGGACGGTTGAGATCTTAGGCAGACAATGAAGCCATTGTGTCTTTCATTGGTTTGGAGATTTGTTAAAAAACTTCTAAAGAGAAACTAGAGAGACCCTTTGATTCTTTCAAGACCCTCCAGAGGCCATGCTAAGTTTATCAGGTGTGCTCTCCTCTGGTTTTGCCCGAAATGGAAGAAAGATCACTGGCGTAGATAGTTTATAATGGCAGTGAATATTATATGTGACCTTGCTTTTAAAAAAAAAGTGTAGAAATGAGTTCTTACATGCATTTTAGGCCTTGGTCCATAGTTTTCAAAATACTCAGTATTGCCCTCTTACTCTTTGCCTCTGTTGACAGCATCCTGTATGGTCTAGTTTCACTCCTGTTTTTCTAGGGGGCCCTCTGTCTTTTTCATATTAACTCTCTGCATGGCCCACCTGACACTAGCCATGCCTCTATCTTACTGCCTTAATAAACCTTTGTCACTTGTTTTGCTAAATTTTTTAAATTATATTTTATTATATGGAAGACATTGAGCCCTTAGTTAATTCCAGAAGTTCATTATGTAATATTTGTAAGTGAAAATTCACATTTTATTACTATAGGAAGGAACAGAGAATACACATAATAGTTTTTCAAGAGTTCTCAGGAATAAAAATATTTTAAAAATAAATTTTTTTTTTTTAATTGAGAAATGGTTTATGACATATACACGAAGAACATGCTCTGTCCACATCCAGTAGGGTGACCTTGGGTGCCAAAATATTTTAAAAATAAATTTTGTATGTGCACACACAGGCCCCGGAAAGCTCTCTCTGTATTGAAACCAGCCTTTCCCTATAAGAAGAGAACCTCACAAAGAAGTCATAACCTTGGCTTTGAGTGAATTACGAGTGCTTTTGTTTTCTTGAATTTTTCTCTTTGAGGAAAAGCACCAGCTGAAAATTGACTCTCATGTTTTTTAAGAAAATAGTAATGAAGAGATGCTCCCATTTCCACAGTTCGTCTGCCCTGCCAATGTCAAACCTTCATCAGTTCCCGTAGTATTTCAGAGGACATTATTTTCGTGTCACTGAAAACTGAAATTTTCAAGAAGAAAAATCTTATGACAAATGAGTGAGTGAAGCTCTTTCCCTGTGATTTCCAATTTTTTGTTCATTCCACACTGCAGAGACACAGGATACCTACCTTTCTGGCTCCCATGTTTTATTAAAGGATTTATAAAAAAAAATACTCCAGATAGGTGAGTTTTCATCCTCATCTTTTTCCTCTTTACTCTGGCTGATACAGACGTCACATGATTCTTGTAACTTGCTTTACTGTCAGCAGCTACATGCAGCCAATCCTGCAGATTCTTTTTCAGGAAATGCCTTGGAAAAGGTACAGCCAGAGCTCCTTGGATGCAAGGATGGCGAAGCTTCATCTCACACACTAGGAATATTGCTAGGAGAGGCTATTTGGAAAGAGACCTCTTGTTTGGAGAGATGGAGGGTCAGTGAAAGAAGACCCTCAACGAGATGAATTTACACAGCAACTGCAGCAGTGTGCTCAAGTGTGTCAGAGATGAGGAAGAGGATATAATAGGACAAGGTTCAGATCTGTTGTTTATAGGGTCACTATGATTCATACTTGACAACACCTGTCAACAGTAGTTCTACTCAGGATTCCTTAAAGATGAGAATGAGGACATGGAAATTAGGTGGTACTGGAGCTGGGCTGGGCGAGTACACCGTTGTTCCTCAATACGGACCTCCTCAACAGTGTAGAAATATGATATTTTTATGGATCTCTAATTGTACGAGATATTTTAATGAATACTCTAAGGAGTTTTGGGAATTGTAACTATATCTAATGCACACATATCTTGAAAAGAACTCAGTTCAGTTATTCTGATATTTTGAGACTCTTAATAGAGGAAGAGATATGAAAAGTGCTATTTTTCCCTAGTAGGAGGTGTGGAATTTCTTACAAGGTGTAATTTTTTAAAAAATTTTTATTCATTTTAATGATTTTGGATTTTCATTCATTCATTGTTGCACTTTTTTCTTTACCCCCCTCCCCCCAGTTTGCTCCTCTCTTTGAAAAACAAAAGATAAATTTCTTCGTTGGTACACAATGCCCCTGACTCCTACCCTGCCCCGCCCCCGCCCCAAATGCACTCCACTATGCAACCTTAATTCTGGATTCCTAGATAATCACAATACGCTGTCATATATCACTTTTAAACTGTTCTGTCCCTCATCTGTTTCAGTTCAGTATACATGATCTAGCCAGTTTTTCTCAGTCTTAAACCAACCCTGATGTCAGTCCCTTTCTACAACAGTGCCACCGTGCAGTATTTGTCCTTTTGTGACTGAGATATTTTATACGAGCTGAAGAGAAACCAGAGTATGATACAAGGTGTTTTTTAAGAGTTGGATGCAGTTGAAGATGTCCAAGGAATTGACTTTGCTCCTCTAAAGTTTTACCAGGTCAGCTCTGGCATCCTCACCATCTTCATATTCCTGATGATGCAGTGAATTGAGATTGGGAAAATTGCCACAACTCTTGAGCTTTGTTCTGCCATTTTCAGTTTCTCAAGCCATCTACATTTTAAATAAGGTGTCTGTCTGCATACACCCACCCTCCACCCACATTTCTTTATTTTCTTTTGTCCCCTGCAGTTATGAAAGATTTCCAAGACTATGTTGAACCTGAAGAAGGTTGTCAAGGCTCCCCACAAAGAAGGGGGCCTTTGACCTCAGGTCCAGATGAAGAAAATATTGCCTTGCCTCTTGGTGACAATGTCCTAACTCATAACCTGGGGATCCCAGTGTTGGTGGTGTGTACAAAGGTGCGTACGTGGGGATGTTAAACTTGACTGCCTTTGGCTGGTGAATAAGCAACACTGCAACAAAATTGTGGGAGGCTTTGATTAGATTTCTTAAGAAAGGATTTAGCTTATTTGAGATTTTCTTTTTTTTTTTAAAGGTACATTGAATATGCGAGAAATAGGAAAAAAAACTTTCTTTTACTATTGCTACTAAAAACATGACATTACTCAATTTGCTCATGACTTAGGTAGTCTCCCTGAAGCATTGCTGAGATTACTGAATTATTTGGACTTGGAAATAAAAAGCCATTTCTTAAGGCCGTGTAAACCAGTTAATATGGGCCAGGCTCATGATGAACATAATGGTGTGGGGGAGAGAATACTTCTGGGCTCTCTTCCGTAAGGGTAAAAGTAGATAGCAGATGTTCTGTTGGACCTGAGAAGATTTTCTGAAAGAAACATTAACAATGTCAGAAAAAGAAGTAGCAGAAAACTCTTCTACCCTGTAGAATGCTTAGGTGGAAATAGATATTGAGATCAGTCATGAAAAGATAAAAGTTCCATCTCTTACATAATAAGATTCTAGCTTGAGAAACTTTGAATTTAAAAGTCTTTTAATCCCAGTCAGGGCCACCATGTTCCTCAGCTCTAGAGTGTGCTGTAGGACTCCAAGTCCGAGAATGAAGCCCAGCAGAGCCTTGTTTGACTTAGAACAGTACAATATGACCAGGCCTATTTTAGCTCCAGTTTACAGACAGGAAAACTGAGGCGTAGGATGAAAGCAAAACATTTCCAGTTGCTTTCCCTATTTAATTTCTTTGTGAGCCCTGGGATTTGGCTCTTTTCCAGAGTTCTGATACTTGCTTTGTCCACCTTCAGCAGGCAGAGGTGCAAGAAGCTGACCCCCCCTGTCTTTGTCTTCCCTGCAGTGTGACGCGGTGAGCGTGCTGGAGAAGGAGCACGATTACAGGGACGAGCACTTTGACTTCATTCAGTCACATCTTCGGAGGTTCTGCCTCCAGTGTATCCTTGAGATGCTGTGGCAGGGCCACAGCACGACTGACTCCCCACTCTGTGCTAATCGAGGCTAACCTCCACACAGACATTTCAAAGAGATAAAGTCCCCTCTGAATTCATAGTAATCATCTCCCCTGGGGAAACCTTCCGGCTTTCACCTTTTATGATTGAGGCTTGTCACTATACACCTATCTTTGCTTGAGTTTTAATGTTGACAGGCTAAGGGTGTTTCCTGGACTTGCCTCAGAGTCAGTGAATATTAACATGTTAGAAAGTCACCTCCAGACCCTCTTAAATATTTTGCCCTCGTTTACCTGCTGTTCCCTTTTGAAATTTCAGCACTTGTGCTTCTCAGGTATTTATTACAGATGGTCCCTGTGAAGTGTTTTGAGGCTGGTGCTTGTATGTCTTTGATTCTTCATGCTACGGTGATTCCTGTTTTCCTTAAGCTGACTTATTAGATGGAGCGGCCTTGATTTACACGTCGGTGAAGGAAGAGAAGAATCTCGACTTGTTGTATAAGTACATTGTTCATAAAACCTACGGTTTCCACTTTACCACACCTGCCTTAGTTGTGGAAAAGGATGCAGTTTTTATGTGAGTTCTTTGGAGGTGCTGCCTTCAGACTCTTCTTTTCCTATTTTGTTCTGTTTTACTCTTTCACGTAAAGTGCCTTCTCTGTCCTGATGGGCCAGCTTCCCCTCGTAGCTGCATTTCAGATTGAGTGCCATTCTGCCTCTAGACTTTAGGAAGTGCATAGACTGAAGTGGCAGGGTACGACCTTTCTTCATTAAGACCACGTTGCCAAAACTCAAGCTTATGAATGTTTCGTCTTGAGGGACAACTCCAGCTTGCCCTTTAATGTGATGTAATTGCTCTCCTTTGAAAGGATTCAGCCAGCCTCTCTTCATCTTCCCATTATGAGTACCTTCACCTGCTACATGTGCAGCTACAGATCATTAGGAAGACTTTGAGCCTTTCCTTGCACTACAGTAAGGATAGCACAGTGGGCCCTTGGCGCTCTGGTGGCCTAGACTGTAGAGGGTTGCGCTGCTGACCAGAAGAACTGTACATGCTTGTTCTGACTTACCGATTCCCACAGACACAGGAGCAGAGCCGCTCGTAGCCGAGGGACAGTTGTCTTTTTATTGCAGCCTCGGGATGGCTGTAGGCACCCTGGCTGGCTTCACTATGTTGAATGCTTTGTGTGTTTCCTGTATTTCACACTCTAGGGGCCGTTGGACTGATGGTGCTCCTGGGCAGAGGCTTGGCCCCTTGTTTGCCTGGGCTATGTTTTTGTCAACCATTCTGATACGCGTACTGCAGAGCCATGAGTATTGCTGGATGTATACTTCAAAGGCCAATGTTAGTAAATCATTTAGGCCTCTTAGCTTTAAAAAGAAATTATAATTGTTCATTCAGCAAATGCCAAGCCAGGGATCAGAAATGAGGTCTACTCATGGCATTGTGGGGACATTCATATGTCAGTGAGTAATGACAGCTGAGGAGGGAGAAGGCAGTCCTGGGCTGGTGGGGGACTGCGAGGGGGTGGGGCAGGCAGCGGGCAGTGCTGGGAGGGTGAGTGGTGGTTGCCAGCAGACCAGAAGGAGCAGTGGGAGGCTGAAGTGTGCAAATCTGAAGGAAGCCTGAGAGCCCAGAGCTCTCAGATTTGAGTGAGCTGCCCCTTAGACATTGGGGCTAAGCCTTATGCAGACTCTGCAGACAGCCAACCCCAGAGGCTGTGTCTTAAGAGAATCCATGTCCAAAGCAGTCATCAGGCACCAAAGACAAGCTCGGCAGTGCTGTCACCGGGTCACACGTGGTCCCAAAGAGCTAGGGGAGCTAAGAGACCTGTCAGCTTTGGGGCTGATCTGGTGGTTTCTGAAGACTGCAGCAATCCCTGTTCACCTTTCACCTTGCTAGTCATAGTCATTGTCTGCCTGGGAGCTCTTAAAGTCAGCAAGCTTATTTGGGCATGTAGGCACCTGGCTGGACACTTGGGCTTGAAGCGGGTAGAGTAGGAGTTGGGAGGGAATGAGAGGCCTGTACAAACAAGTGGGTTTGTCTTCTGGACCTTCTTGAATCTTGAATCCAGGAGTGTGTCATGTTAAATGTTACGGTTACTGCCTTCAGAGACTCACAGGCTGCAGCTTGGCTTAGTGCGGTGCGGTACCATCCTGCCCTGGGGTGTTGAGCTCCGTCATTCTGAGGACTCCCTGCTCCCCCTGGTTTGAGGCCTGGAATAGATGGAGGCCTGGGGTCCCTTTAATCAACAATATTCATGAAGCCAACCACAGAGAATTTCTCAAAAGGAAGAGTTCTCAGGAAAAGAAAAAGGCCCGTAGAGCACACCCCCATGCCAGAGCCATAGAGAAGCAGTCCCGTGCAGAGCGCTGTTCTCCGTCAGAACAGGGATCCGAGCCTTCCTGCCTGGTGGGAGAGCTGCAGACACTTCGTGCAGTTCGGACACGGAGTCAGTGGCATCCCATACTGTTCACCCACCTTGCTTGGGTCTGAGAACTCGATAAGGGGTGGAACCTGTCAGGATGAGCTGTGGATTAGATCTCCATAGAATTTTGAATTGCCCACCAACAGCTACAGCTCTGACATGGGTTCTTGAGTCCATGGTAAGACAAGCCTAGGAAAAGGGAGTCATTCCCCATCTCTTTGCTTTTAGACCTGCAGGCTGGGACAATGAAAAGAAAATAGCCATTTTACATGAAAATTTCACCACCGTGAAGCCTGAAGACCCGTATGAAGACTTTATTGTGAGGCCTCCTGTGAGAAAGGTATGCAAATCAGTTGCTGTATGAATTGTATTTGTCATGGGAAACCAAAACTGTTGCCATCCAATTGATTCCTCCTGCTCACGACCTTAGAGGACAGTAGAACTACCCTGAGAATTTCCTATGGACCCTGGCAGGTTAAGCATTGGGTTGTTAACAGGAAGAACTGCAGCTTAAACTCACTCACTTGTCACTGCGTGGGAGAAAGATGAGGCCCCTTGGAGGGTCCCCGTGAGTCACAGTCACCTCGATGGCAGCGGGCCTGTGGTTTTGTTTGTTTAATCTTCATGGAAGTAGAGCGCTGTGTCTTTCTCCAGCTGAAGGGCTGCATACAAACCATCAGTCTTTAGCTTCCCCGGGGAGCTTGACCCCCAGTCAGCAGGGCTAACTCATGCAAAACATCTTATGCATCCTCTCAGTCCTTTATTTCCTAAGGGATTTGAGAGACGTAAATTCAGTTTTCATTCAACTCTTCATAGACATTTTGTTCAGCAACATTCATTTCACACCCACAGTGTAATAGGTCTTTCCCCACTTCCCCTGTATTTCTGATTGTCTTTAATCCTTCTATACCTCTCTGTCTTCCCTTTCTTTAGTAATTTTGTCCTGATCATCAGTTTATTATATATTGGCTTTCCTTTTGCTCATGTGCTAAGAGTGGTCCTATACAACATTTGTCCTTTTGTAACTGACTTGACCTAATTTCCCGGAGCACAGTGTCCTGAAGATGCATCCATATAATGCAATAATTCCTTGTTTTTCAGTGTTGTGTAATACTGTGTTGTGTGATTGAACCATAGTTTATCCATTCATCTGTTACTACTGGTCACTTGGATTGTTGATCTTTACTATTGTAAATAATACTATAATGAACCTGGGTAGGCATCTATCTTTTTATATATATGTGTGTGTGTATATATAAATAGATAAATAAATGAATACATACAAACAAACAAAACCCATAGCAAACCCAAAGTCCTTTTGAAACATGAAGCTTGATGTTACATAAACAGCTCAGGGCGACCTGTGCCCGTGGTGCTCCTCAGGGGCTGGGTGGGTTTTCCCGTCAAGTCCTGACAGCGCCACCTCCTCCTTTTCCTCACTGTTAGGGTACAGTATGTGCCCCCGGCACCTCCAGTCTCCTGTGCACTCTGACTGAGCTTATATTTTTAAAATATCACCAGATCTTGTGTCAGGGCTGGTTTTGAGGAGGATCTGTGCCAGGCTAAAAGGATATTTCTGTAATCCTGTCTGTTTACCCGCACGCACCCCAAGCCCCTAGAGTCTTCTTCCAGTGTGAAATGTGACTGGTAGGAGGCATTTTCTTGGGCTGTGGTCACAAACAAGCATGTTGCTTCACAGCTGGTCCACGACAAAGAGATGGCAGCAGAGGACGAGCAGGTGTTCCTAATGAAGCAGCAGGTGAGATGAGCATCGGGGCCAGAACAGGGGCCGCCTCTTGTTCCTGTGGGAATGCCTGCATGTGGAGATAGGAGTGTTGGCGGCTTTGGGAACAGCTCTCTCCATTTTTCTCCTTCCGGGGATAAGATGGTGCAGTCCCTAGGGGGGTTGTGCTCCAAAAGGTGGTGCCTCTCTGTGGTTGGAATCCACCAGCTACTCCAGGGAGAAAGATGGGCAGTCTTCTGCTGTGCGATTTACAGCCTCCTAAAGGCTGTTACAGGGTCAGCTTTGAGTTGGTTCTGACTCAATGGCAAGGGGGTTTGGGGTATTTTTTTTAAAGAGAATTGGTATAGTAGGAGTTGAGCCCCTGCCTCAGGAGCCCCCTCCCTGCCTTGCAGATTCTCCTTCAGCAGTAAACATGCTATTTTAAGCGCCATCTCCCTCTGGAAATGTAGGGGAGGTTGGGCAGGGGACGTTGAAAGTTTTAACAAATGAGCACCCTCACTTCCATTATTCACACAGCCGTGTACATGCAGGCAGGTGAGCTGATAGACCCCTTCCACAGAGAGGAGACACAGATTCACCTTTTCCTCACCCGTGTGCTGTCATAGACACCAACCCTCCTAGTGGTGAACTCCAGAGGAGGTGTGATGGGTCTTTTGCCAGCTGTTTCTTCCTTCTGTGCGCTGCTTGCTTCCTAAGTGCAACTTAAAATTTTCCTTTGATTTTGTTTATTTGGGTTTTTTCCCTTACCATATGCTACTCAATTTTCATCTTTTGGGTTTAGCATGTTACTGAGTTCTTGTCTTGTCAGTGGGGCCCTCTAGTGGAAGCATGGGAGTAAGCTTTTTCCGGATCTCCAGTACACGTTGTGGGCCTGGTTAATGGCCATTGTATCCCTCTCTTTGCAGTCTCTTCTTGCCAAGCAGCCAGCCACGCCCACGAGAGCCTCCGTGAGTACCACACACTACACAGGGCCCAGCCCCACAGGCGTGGGTGTCCTCAGGCTTTATTTGTGAGGGTTTCTGTTTGTCACGACACTTGTGTTTTCAGAGGACACTTGGTCTTCTTAGAAGCCCATAACCAGAAACATAGTAGGAACTCAAGGAGTGGCTGGTGGAGGAATACAGCTCTGGGAGTGAGGGTGAGCAGGCCCTGTTAGCTAATACTCCCCAGGGAAACTGAGATCCAGAAAGGGCCTGAGCCATGGGCAGGCCCAGTCCTGGACTTTTCTCCCTGGGCTGATAACCTGTAGAAGCATGTCTTCATTTTTTGAATATATGTTTGTTTCTTGTTCTTAAATAATGCTTTATTGTGTTTTAGGTAAAAGTTTACACAGCAAATTAGGTTCCCTTTAATAATCTTAACCATAAATTGTTCTGCATCATTCAGTATATTCTTTCCAGAGTGTCAGCCTGCTCGTTACTTCCTTTATGTTGGCCTAACTTCCCTTTCTTGCCTGCTCATCTCCACTTTTTCAGCAAATGTTCACCACTTGAACTCACAGATAATTGTGTAGGCATGACTCACAGGCAGTATTACTTAGTTTAAAATCCAGTCTTATTATTTGGCTAAGAGGTGACCTTTACAAGCAGCTTCAATTTCAGATTTAGTGTCTGTCTTAGGGCGATAGTCTCAAGGGTTACCCAAGTCTCTTGATCTGGTAGATCTGGCCATTTTTAAGGAATTTGACTTTTGTCCTATGCTTTCTTTCATTCTGTCCAGAACTTGCTAATGTATGCCTGGTCAGAATGAGTTGTGTTTTTCCTGTTATCTTTATACATCTTTGTGGCCTGTGTTGGTTTTGGATTTAGGAATCCCCTGCAAGAGGACCCTCTGGCTCTCCAAGAACCCAGGGCCGAGGAGGGCCAGCCACTGTGCCCAGCGCATCCCCAGGCACATCTGTGAAGAAGCCTGACCCAAACATCAAAAGTAAGTATTGTGCCCTGCAGTGAGAGGCCTGGGGACTGGGTTTGAGGGTGGGGACCCATGGTAGCTGAGCTATTTTTCCCACAGAAAGATTTGCATTCATTTCCTGTCTCTCAAGAGGGATGGAGGAGGATTGGAGTTGGCCATTCCTTTATTGGAATCTCCGGCCTTCATACCTGGTTTTGTGAAAGACCTCACGATGTGCAGATTCCTTCAGAGAGGGCTGCGATGTGCTTTGAATTCTTAGTTTTATTTTTCATTCTATTTATATTGTTGTTGTTTTGTTAAGTGCCGTCGAGTCGCAGGCGACTCATAGCAACCCTTGGGTTCCTTTCATCCTCTCTCCAGGTTCGTAGGGTTTCCGGAGGCACGCTATTATGGAAGTGGATTATTACTGTGTATAAATTATGGGCTGCCCCTCTCCTTTTTACTTCTCTTGGCAAACTTGGTTATTAGAAAAGTAACCTGGTGATATCTAGATACTGGTTGCTATAAACCTTTCAAAACTGAACTTGACTTAATTCTTACATGCTAGATGGGCTTTTTGCTGCATCTCTGGAGTACTGACAGCATTCATACCCCACCTCCCCCCACACACCCCAGAAGCACTGCCTGGCAGGTGAGACAGTGATGTGGGTACAGGCCGTGGGCTGTGCCCCAGACAGGTGGAAGATCTCAGGACATTTCCACTTACTAATCATACTACCACAGGTAGCCTCACAGGCCACTGTGTGAAGTGAATATGCTCAGTATCCTGCGATGGTGGTAGCGACAAATGGATAATTCCAAAGTGAGAACCAGTTTCTTTGGTTCATCCTGTTTGTTTGATGCTTTGTTTTCCTTGATGTTTCTTTAGACAATGCAGCGAGTGAAGGGGTATTGGCCAGTTTCTTCAACAGTCTGTTGAGTAAGAAGACAGGATCTCCTGGAAGTCCTGGTGCCGGAGGGGTGCAGAGCACAGCCAAAAAATCAGGTACAAAAGGGCCCCTGAGACCTGTGACCCAGCGGGTGGGCAGTGCTGGGAGGATGGGAGATCTGCCTTTCCCTAAACTGTGGACTCTTGGTTCTCAGAAGCGAGGCAAGGAAGCAGCCCTGCACTTTATACATGCTAAGCTTTGCAGCAACATCACCTAATTATCAATCAGATTTCCTTGGTAACTTTTGAGTGTGATTTTTTGGGAATTAACTATGTAGTGAGTTGAAGTTTACCCCAACCCTACACGTGGCCCTGGTTTACAGGTTTTCCCCATTCAAGATAATGGACAAGAAAGTGCCATTGACATTTTATTCTGTTTCACGTCCTGTGATGTAGGGACTTTGAAGATATTCCAGAAGGGACTTTTGCTTTTTGTTTTCAACTGGCTCTAAAGTATGTTAAAAATGGTGTTTTCCCCTAATTGATATTTCCAGGGCAAAGTCATTCTTTCCACTTACAGATTAGCCTGGGCCTCAAGGGGCTCTTAGTTCTTGGAAACTTGAGTCTGGTGGCCAGTCTGTGGACTGCTATTCTCCAACAGGAAATAGGGGCTATGGGCTGTTTCAAGATCCAGTAAGTGCTAGACAGAAAAAAACAAAACCTACCAAATTCAAACCTCGAGTTGCGGGACTTAAACTATGAGCTGAATACTGCATGATCCATGAAGCATCAAAAAAAGATGGAAGGAGTACACAGAATCACTGTACCAAAAAGAATTGGTTGACACACAATTTCATAGTATATGTTCAGGAGTAAATTGTAATATAGAAGAAAGTTCAAACTGCACTGAAGGAATTGGAAAAAAATAAGGCCCCAGGAATTGATGGAATACCAGTTGACGTATTTCAACAAACAGATCCAGCCCTGGATGTGCTCACCAGGTTGTGCCAAAAAATCTGGAGGACAGCTACCTGGCAAGCTAGCTGGAAGAGATCCTTATTTAGTCCCATTCCCAAAAACGGTGATCTAACAGAGTGTGGAAATTAGCTAACAACATTACTAATAACGCATGCAAACAAAATTGTGGCTGAAGATTATCCAGAAACGACTAAAACAGTACATTGACAGAGAACTTCCAGAAATAGAAGCTGGGTTTGCCAGTGTCTAACCTTGAGACAAATGGGAATCCCAGAATACTTAATTGTGCTCACATGAAACTTATACCTAAACAGGAAGACTTGGTTCAAAATCAAGAAAGGAGTAATCAAGGATGTATCTTCTCTCCATACCTTTTCAATTTAATTCGGGAACTTGGACTTTTATGAAGAAATGTGACATCAGGATTGGAAGAAGACTTGTCAACATCCTGCATGCTCACAGAAACTGAAGAGGATTCTTGAAGCATTTGCTGCTTCCAGGTTCAGGACTGTCGGGTTCAATATCGATTACATCTCAATATCAAGAAAACAAAGATTCTCCCCACCGAGCCAGTTGGCAGGATCACGAGTAATGGAGAAAAGATTGAGGTTGTTAACAATTTCATCTTGTTCGGATCCACAGTCAATGCTCTTGGCATCAGTAGTCAGGAAATTTTAAAAATGTTTCTTTAGGAGAGTCTGTCCTGAGGGACGTCTCCAGTGTGCAAAAGAGCAGTGATGTCAGTATAAAGACTAATGTGTGCCTGATCCAGGCCATGGTCTTCTCAGTTGTTGCTGTGCATCTGAGAGCAGGACACTGAGTCTCAGGATGAGAGAAGAAGAACTGATGCCTTTGAGTTGTGGTTCTAAAGAAGAGTATTGAACATGCCCTGGACTACTAAGGGAACAAACGGATCTGTCCTGTTGTTGTAAAGTGCCGACAGGTCAAGTACAACCCAGTGAACAACAGATCTGAACCCTGTCCTATCTTGTGCGATCCTTACACTTCCTGGCTCACTTGCGCCCATTGCAGCAGTGTCAATCCATGTGATTGAGGGTCTTTCTTTGTCCAATCTCTAAGGACTAGCCTCTCTTACCAACATGCCCAAAGTATATGGTCTGTGCTGGAGAGGGTGAAACAAGGTTGCTCCTTGAAAAGAAAGGATTTTGAAACTCTGTCTCACATACTTTGGGCATGTTACAGGAGAGACCAGCTAGGGCAAGGTCTGTCCCCAGCATCACTGTGAGTCTTAGTTGACTCAGGAGTTCATAACATGAACAACCATGAATAGGGACTTTGACCTATCTCTCCTTGGTCAGACTTCTGTTGAATCATGGGGTTTCCAGCTACCCATGTGAGTTAGTCTAGATTGAAGCAAAATCTAAATACTTGTTCTGTCTGGAATCAAAAAGTAGTTTGTTGTGTGTCCACCACTCCGATAGCGTCTCTGGGAAAGTAGTGATAAGATTCCATTGGGACTGGACTAGGTGGTGAGAAGGTTTCTGAAAGGCATCCCCTGCCAGGGACTTCATATAGTTAGAGTCAGGTGTGTGTCACAGATGTGGGGCTTTAGGAATTAGGTCCATCTCTTCATAGTGCAGAGAGCTCTGGTGGCCTAGTGGTAAGGAATTGCACTGCCAGTGCAAAGGTACCTAGTTCGAATCCACCAGCTGCTTCACAAGAGAAATATGAGCACTCTCCTCCTGTGTGAAATTCTTTTTTTTCCCCGTTACCCTATCAGTGTCTTTTTTCCCCCCTCTTAGGACAGAAAACTGTGTTGACAAATGTTCAAGAAGAACTGGATAGAATGACTCGAAAACCGGACTCCATAACAAACTCTTCAACGGAAAACGAAGCCTGATCTTCCTTCCAAAGTGCATATGTACAATGACCAAATAACTATGTATATTGATCTGCTAAGACCAGGATTCTTCTGATATGGCACATGCTATCTATCAGTTTTTTGGGGCAGGGGAGATAACTTTTTAAAAAACTACTTCATTGGCTTGTCCGAGTGTGAAATGCCCATGTAGGAAGGTTACATGTCAGACCCCTTTGTTCAGAATAACCCTTGGACTCGCGGGCATGTGGCTCTCGTGGCGGGGAGTGCAGCTGGGCTTCTTGTGGAGGGAAAGGAAAAGTCAGAGGAGAGGCCCTGCTTTCCTTCAGGGTGAAGCAGATGAGACCTGGCAAATCCATTTGTTCTGGGGAAGCAGATGAGGCGGCAAAAAGCCCAGGAAGGAGAATGGCTGAGGGAGGAATCAGAGATGTGAGGACAGGAAAGCTGCAAGTGGAGGGTGGTGAGCAGTGTTAGTAAATACTGTGTGTGCAGTAGAAGTCAAATAATCATTGTTTAATAGGATTTAAATTTAGAAGCATTTCCAAACTAAACACTAAGCAAAATGGGAATTAGGTTTATTCTGAATGCATCTTTAGTTTCTGAGAGATGTGGTGTGAGGGTGCCCGTGCCAGGTGGAGATGACACGGGGGTGGGGAAGGTGGCAGACTGCCCAGGACCCACGTGCATGCCCCAGGCCACGGCCTCGACAATGCATGTGCATTGTGGGGCTGACGGTCACTGAGGTGCTTCGAAAGTCAGCAGTTACAGATAGTTTACTTTGAATTGTTTTCTAAATAGCTCTTGCTTTATTTAAACTTTTGTTTTTTCACTACCACAGGCCGGCCTACTAATAGAGTGGGTGACTGACCTCTCATTTACCGTAATGCAATGTGCTACAGAGAGTCTGGAGGAGGTGGTTAATGTAATTGCACTCTGGCTAATTGGCTTGCACCAGTCCCTGCCTTACAGTCCGTGGAGACCTTCACGGATTCCCACTGATGCAAAAGGGTCTTGTCTTAGCTCCCTGGTCTGAGTAGTGCTGTCAGAGGGAAGAATAAGTGTGGATGTTTTATATGGAAATCAGAAAGATACATGTCTCTGGTTTTGTGTTTTTCACAAAAAGTACCATTGTTTTCTTAATAGAAGTAAGAGTTTCAGGTGTCCCCATTTACTGCAAGCTCACGCAGTGTCGTGTATCACACCATCATCCTGTTGTGGGAATGACTTACGGATTTGAAATGGCACTTTTCATTTTCTACATGACACAGCATTTAAATGCAAACACTACCATGAATTTAACGTGTAAAACATTTGTTGTCAAACCAAGGGAAATACCACAATTCACTTATGTGGAGTTTACTTTTTTATATGAATGTTTTTGTACTGTGCGCATAACTTCCCTAATGTCGTTACTTTTACATACCGGATTTGACTGACCACTAATATAGTACTGGGCCTAACTGATAGCCTGTGTTCTATAGCAAGACTCTGAGGTTATATTGAATTGCTTTTGTAAAGGTCTGAACACTGTTATAGAGAGAGCGGGGTATTTACTTGCCTTTCTGACAAACAAACAAAAACAAACCATGTTTCTTGTGCCAGTTTTATTGTTGAAAAGAATGCTATATTTTTCCTTTTTTAATTCAGTTTTTTTAAAAAAAATCTGTTGGCTTCCGAATACCAGGTTGTCCAGGTAATGACTGACTGTGGAGTAATGGTTGTAGTCTGGTGACCAATTGATGCCAAACAGTCTGTCCACAGTGCAGGTGGTAGGGTCAGTCCTTCCCCCCATGGCAGCTGGGGGACAGACAAGTGACCTCAAGCAAGAGAGAATTCTTGGAAAGGCACACACCGAAGGTGGATACAGTGAGATCTTAAGCTTACATGTAAATTTTACTTTTCTTTTTTATCATTTGAACTGATAAGCACTTTTTGTGTCAATATAAAATATACTAAAACTGATAAATGCTAAGACACTTGTCTTTGAAGGAAGGGTTCCTGGAGATGGCTCAGTTTCCCACGAGGATGGGCTGCTCGTGGTATCAGGAGCGGCTGATGCAGAGTGTCCTGGGCTCATTGGTCACCAAAGTCTACCAGCTTTGGAGAGCTGCAGGTTCTTTCTGTGGGGTGGAGGGGAAGGGAATTTTCTGGTTGTTATTTTTGGGTTTTCAAGCATTGGAACCAAAGGCCCAACAACAAGCAGCCTTTTCTTTTTAAATAAAATTCCTTTTCTTTGCAGAATACATTTGTATGGTAGACTGTTAAAGACGATTTTATGACTATTTATATATGTTATAGTGGTTACATCTGCTGTTCATCTTTAAAATGGAAATAATAAAAGATATTAATCCAACCTTGAAGATGTGGCAGATACAAAGGCCACAAATTAGTCCTCCCTGAAAATGCAACGGGTATGCTGCTAGATTATTTTATTTTGTTTGCACTTTTTTGGGTTTTTGTTTTGGATTGGCATTTTAAAATCAGTATTTAAACTGAAGGCATTGTCATGTTTTATTAATTTAATGAAGTTTAAAGTGACTGCTCTGTACATCATGACAGTAACAATGTTGATGCTGGAAGTGAACATACACTGTCTTCTACACACTAAGTTTATTGGTGTTTTTAACTTAAACTAGGACTGCAGCTTGTCCCTCCACCAGCCTTAGTCCAGGGGTGTGGCGCTCTCTGGGTACATATGCAGTCATGTGGAACCTTGCTTTCTAGTGCTGGAAACAAAAGAAGATGTCTAATTACTGGCTTCAATAAACATGAATCCAGACCGCTTACAATTTTTGTTGCCTTTCTTGGTGATAAATCATCCCACTGAAGTGGAATAAAAATGTATACTTCTACCAGACATCAGGATTTATGTGCACTGAGTTCTAAGCTAGCATATAGTAGGCTTTCTGAGTTTTCATTTGTGCTCAGTTTTAGAGTCATTGGGGATTTGTAGAGGAATTTCAGAGAGTAAAATGGTGAGGAAGAGGTTTCCTGTCTTTATTAGCAGCCCAGGGCAGACTCATGTGACATGGAGGACAGACATAACCGCCAACATTTCTGTGGGTCTGACACAGACTGTCTCGCCTGTGGCACACAGCTCACTGCTGCTCTGAGTTTGATAATTCATTGCAGTGACCACACAGAATTCAGACCGTACACTTGAGGGGAGGGGGAGACGTTAGGGAGTAGAAGGTTACAAAAAAGAGAACCAGCAGAGTGCAGAAGATGCCAAACTATCATTAATATCACCTGCAGGTGAAATCTTGCTGAATATGATTTTAAAATAGGTGAAACAGTATGTTAACAGAAATTCAAGCTAGATTCAGAGGAGACTGGAACAATAGATATCATTGCTGATGCTAGATGGATCTTCACTGAAAGCAGAGAATATCAAAGATTCTTGCTTGTTTTATTGATTATGTAAAAGTGTTCAAGTATGTAAATCATAATAAATAATGGATAACATTGAGAAGAATGGGAACCCCAAATTAATTGTGCTCATGTGGAGTCTGTCCATAGACCAAGAAGTAGTTGACCGAACCAAACAAGGAAATACTGCATGACTTTAGTCAGGAAAGGTGAGCATCTGGGTTGTATCTTTTCTCCTTATGTCATGTGTATGCTAGGAAAAATCATTTGATAAATTGGAGGGAAACTCCAAGTTTTGCTGAAAGTGAAAAAGACTTGAAGCACTTAGTGAAGAAGATGAAAGACTATATCCTTCAATATGGATTACTTGGATCCACAGTCAGCACCCATGGTAGCAGCAGTCAAGACATTACAAGACATGTTGCACTGGGACAATCTCTTAGGGGCTTCTCTAAAGTACTGAAGATTAAGTATGTCCTTTTAAAGACTTAAGGTCTGAGCCAAGCCATGGGGTTGCATACATGTGAAAGGTGGACAGTGAGTAAGGAAAGCCAACAAAGAACCCAGGTCTTTGAGTCACAGTACGGAGAAGAGTACTGAACCCCTGGACTGCCAGGGGGCTCTAGTGCCCTGGTGGTGAGGAGCTGCACCGCAACCCAAAGGCACAAGGTCTTAATCCACCAGGAGAAAGAACAGTGTTTAGCCTTTGAAAACCCACTGGAGAGTCAGCTATGAGTCGATTCCAACCTAGAGCTGTACATGTCAGTTGTACAACAGTGACATGGACTGGCAAAAGAACAAGCAAGTTTGTCCTGGAGGCAGTGCAGCCGGGGTGCTTAGAGGCACTTAGTGATGACTGTCAAGTCGAAATGGACTCAGCTGGCCCTGCAATAACTTCAGAGACTATACGTGACATAGGAGAAAGCCCATCTTTCTCCCACAGAGCAGCTCATGGTTTGAACCACCTGCTGTTGGGTTGGCAGCTCAACTCCTTATACTCTAGGCTACAAGAGCTGTTAGTTTGGATTAATAGCTGAGGCTGACCCAAAGGTGACCCCTCCAGAGCATCTAAAAACTCACTGGAAGGTCAGCTGTGAGTGAATTCCAAGCCAACAGAAAGGAGGTGTTTATAGACATGGATGGTGAACCATCGCACCGTTGTGGGCAGATTGTCAGGAAAGGCCAGCCCTTGGAAAAAGACAAGGTAAGAGGTCTGGGAAAGAGGAGGACCCTCATCTAAATGGATCGAGTCAGTGACACAAAGCCTGCAACAGCGGGCTTGATCGTGGAGGAGATGCTGGGGGTGATGCAGGTTGGGACGGGGTTTCCACCTGTTCATTAGGTCGCTGAGCCTTGGTCAACTTGATGTCAACTAACAACAGCAGTTTCCATTATTCATGTTGGGGAACAGGTTCAGCACATCAATCAGAACAGCCTCTTGGCTGTACCTGCAGACAGGTCTCTTGTGCTTTGGCCAATAGTGCAAAGCTCGTTTTGCTGTGCTGGCCCACGGCCCCCACACTTGAAGGCATTCATTCAGCTTCCCAGCTCCATCAGTTGGCAAGCCTGGCACCATGGAGAAGTGCCCAGATCTCCCTGCTCCTCAAGCAAACCTTTCCAGAGGTGCTCAGCTTTTTGAAGGCCTTCATGGGCCAAGAAGACCACTGGGCTGCCATCTGCTGGTTTCCTGCTTCTGGTGCTGCCATTTCTCTACTGCTGCGCCCGCCCATGCATTCCTCTTGAGTTAATGACGTTCTCAGCGCAAAGCTGCTGGCT